TCCCCAAATAAAAGAACCAATAATCTTGTCCAGTGAAACAAAGAAATGTTTCGGCAAAAATAAGGGAATTGACTGAAATAAAAATAAAAATTTTGATAAGATGTTCATTTAACAACATTAATCTTACCGATTAAAGAAAGGGGGAGATTACCCCATCTTTGAATATCAGATGTGATCCTAGATAAAAGAGGAGACAAATTTGCTGATTTAAGGCCAGATAGAGAGCGAGTCATGTTAACCCCTAAGTACTTAAACCCAGAGGGACTAAGACAAAAGGGTAGATCGGACTGTTGGAGTTGACGTGCTGCCGTATTAACAGGAAAACACTCACTTTTCCCTAAATTTAATTTATAACCTGAAAACGAGCTGAAGTTCTCCAGAATACTTAAAACAGCAGGAATGGAGCGAGCAGGGTCAGTCATATATAATAACAAGTCATCCGCATACAATGATACTTTATGTGTAATTCCATTACGGGGGATTCCCTTGAATACAGAAGAAGATCTTAATGTAATGGACAGCGGCTCGATGGCAATGGCAAAGAGTAAAGGTGACAAAGGGCAACCTTGACGACAACCACGACCCAGCGCAAAATAATCAGAATAAACATCATTAGTATGAACACTGGCTTTAGGGGATGAATAAAGAAGCTGAATCCAAGAAGTAAATTTATCACCAAAACCAAATTTCTTCAAAACTGCAAACAAATATTCCCACTCCACCCTATCGAAAGCCTTTTCAGCATCTAAAGAAATCACAAGTTCAGGAAGTTGAGATAGATGCTTTGAGTAAATAACGTTAAAGAGTGTACGGGTATTAAAAAATAATTGCCGTCCCTTTATAAAGCCGTTCTGCTCTTCAGATATAATTTGAGGAAGCACATCCTCAAGGCGAGACGCAATTACTTTAGCCAATACCTTTGCATCGGCATTAAGCAGAGATAATGGCCTGTAAGAATCACAGGAAGTTGGGTCCTTGTCATTTTTGAGAAGGAGCGCTATGGTGGCCTGCGTGAAAGTAGGAGGTAATGAACCTGATTCCAAGGACTCGTTAAACACAGACAAAAGCAAAGGTGCCAGTTTACCAATAAATGTTTTATAAAATTCAATAGGAAACCCATCCGGGCCTGGGGCTTTATTAGACTGCATAGCTTTAATAGCTTTTAATACTTCTTCAGCAGATAATGGGGAGTCCAGTTGCCCGGCCTTATGAGTACCGATAACCGGGTTTGAAAGAGACTGAAGAAATTTATTCATTTTAGCTTTATCCGTGGGAAATTCTGACTTGTACAACAAAGAGTAAAATGCTTTAAAGGTAGAATTAATTTCCAACGGATCTGTAGTAATATTGTCATAAGAGTTTTTAATACTGGGTATCACACGCGAGGAGGCCTGACGTCGTAACTGATGCGCCAACAAGCGATTAGCCTTGTCACCGTATTCATAATATGAGCCACGACTGCGTAGTAATAAGTGCTCAGCCTCTTTGGTTGACATAAGATCAAATTCGGCTTGCAAATCAAGGCGCTGCTTGAGTAATTCTGGAGAAGGATTCAGTGCATAAATTTGATCAAAGTTACTAATTGCCACCGTAAGTTCTTTAAGCCTGGCATTAATCTTTTTATTAGCACGGACAGAATAAGAAATAATTTGACCTCTCAAATAGCATTTAAGAGTCTCCCACAGCAGAGAATATGAAACAGAATCATCCCGATTAAAGAACAAGAACTCCTCAATAGAGCTTGAAATAAATTCACAACATTCTTTATCAGCCAAAAGCAGAGAATTAAATCTCCAAAGAGGAGGACTACGTTTATATGTAGAGAGTTGAACATCCAATAGCAGAGGAGAGTGATCAGATATTACAATACCAGAATAGTCGGAGTTAGTAACACATGAATTGAGAGTTCTATCGATGAAAAAATAATCAATCCTGGAATAAGATTGGTGGACCTGGGAGAAAAAGAAAATTTTTTGATTGTAGGGTTGCGAAGTCTCCATGGATCAACAAGGTCATTCTGTATCATAAAATCTGAAAATGTTTTAGACATAGATGATGGAGTCAAATTACGAGGACCAGAACGATCCAAGCTTGGAACAAAAACACAATTCAGATCACCACCAAAAATAAGCAAATGTGTATTCAGAAAGGGGATGTTACTCAGCAATCTATTAGCGAATTCAGCATCATCAAAATTCGGGGCATATACGTTTACCAACAAAACCTTTTTCTGCATTAGGGTGCCAGCAACAATTATGTATCTACCGTTCCCATCAGCGATAACATTGGTCGAAGAGAATTGAACTTTCTTATTGATGAGAATGGCCACTCCTCTAGGCTTTGAATTGAAATTTGAGTGAAAAACCTGACCTACCCAAATTGTGACGGTTACCCTCTTGCAATTTAACCTTCCCCTCACCCCCATCCTAACCTTAACCAGCTTGCACATGCAAAGCTCTGATTGTTGACGCACTCCAGACATCTGCGTCCTGAGCACGGCCACAGTAACATTATCAAATCAGGTGTCGCCACCTCAAAAACTAATTTAACACGCGATTGTTCATGTCGGCTCATTTCCTTTTATGTTTTCTGTCTTTTATTCTTTTATTTGTGCCTGATGCGTTTCGCTGCTGCGGATCGGGGCGCATCACCTGCTTTGTCCTCGGTGACGCACCTAACTGATACTGCCGGTGAGCACTCTGCTGTTTTTGCGGTCGGTAGATCTTTTAGAACTGCGTTCAAAGGTAACTCATAAGCAGAGGCGGATTTAGGACTGAAGAAGATCCGGGGCTTAACACACACGCGCGCGCGCACACGTGACACGCACTAGTCAACATCATATATCTTGTACCACATAGTTTTTAATCTGAAGCTACATATTAAGCATTTTCAGGGCAGAGTATTGTTCCTGTTAGTGTTTAGTGTGAGATGATAGTAAATATTCCCTTTCTTTCTCCATCAACTTTACCTGATAGTAAGCTAACTTTAGGCAAACCAGCAGCACAACAAATATTTACAAATAAGACTCACAAACCTGAGTCAACACCAGTCTCATCAGAGCTGGGGTTCTGTCGCCGTACTTTTGGTCTAAAAAACGTCCTTATGTCCATCTTCACTCATGTGTTTAGAGTGTAGAAGAAGCCAGCTGCTGAAGGGCTTCTTCTTCAGTGGTGGAGGCTCAGGCAGGCTGTATACAAACTACTGCCAGCTGCGCCCTCTCTGTTGGACTTTGGTACTGCATGTTACTTCCGCGATTTAGATCCGGGGCTTATCATGAAAGATCCGGGGCTTCAGCCCAAGTAGCCGGGCCTAACGCCGCCCCTGCTCATAAGGTGAATATAAATGAACCCAGGTAGCGGTTTTTCTTTAGGATTGAGAGGAGATGCAGGAAGATAATAAACAGGCAGGACAGAAAAATAGTCAAATAAAAACAAGTTAGTTTTTGTATGTGGTTGCAACATACAGACACCATTGAAGGTAATCAGAAGTGAGGAGCAGAAAATGAAATAATTATTTTAATGTTTAGAGCAGCAGGAACTCCGAGAGGCTGCAGGCGCATCAGTGAGTTTTCGGCCGCTGCGCAGGGGGAGGGGGGAGAGGGCTGAAGCAGAAACTACCGTTGTTAAAAGAAATGTGTTTAACTTTGAAAATGTGGGCGCAATTTTAATTGTAAAAAAACTCCAGCGAACCATTAGTTCATTTTGCTCAAATAGAAATTGAGGCCTGTCTCTAATTCTGGCCCTCCTTCCAATAAAGGCCTGGAGCTTGATGAGCTTGAGTCAAATACAGGCCCGGGCCTGTATTAGAGGATTTACGGTACTGACAATTTACAATTCTAAAACAACAATCACATTACAGAAATGAAAACAAATTACATTTCAACAATAAAGATTAAAGGTGCGTACATGACTGGGGACTTTAAGGTACTGTTTAAGGTGCTTTTTGAAAATACTATTATGGGGTTCAGAATGCGCCAAAATTTTATTATGACTTTAATCTTGAAACTTGTCGCTCTTTTTCTCTCTTTATAACCCGTCAACATGATGTAGTCTTTATCTGTTGTAAGGTTGTTATCACATGATGGTTGTTTTTCTGTAGGGAATCTCCAGATCTCCTCTAGGGGAGGCTCTGGTGCCAAACCCTTCGTCAGTTCTTAGTTTGATGTATGTAGCAAGTGGATGTGGGGCTAGTCCATGCAGTACTTTGTAGATTAAGCAGCTATTTAAACATTTTTAAAATTGAGCATATTTGATTTTTCCAGAATAGTACACTGGTGAAATGATCAAGAATTTTTATAAACATTTTTAATAGCATTTCTATCGGTTTTAAGAGTATGTGACCAGAGAGTGACCAGGTTGAGAGGCAATAATATGAGAAGATATCACAGAGTGTAGAAACATTTTAGCTGAGTTGATTGTCATTGATGGTCTTATTTGTTTGAAGTTTTGCACATTGAATTTGATTGTTCGCTATGAGTTATATGTGTTTTTTAAAAGATTGTGTCGGATGCAGGTACTTGAGCTCTTGCGCAAGGTCAAAATCTACTACCCCCAAGATCACATTGGACCGCTCCAGTTTTATGTTGTTTTTTTCATCGAAACAGTTTTGTTTTTGTTCAATGAAAGACAGGACCGAACTTAGCTTAACCTAACAGAGGTCCTTGAATAACTAACTAGTGTGTGTGTGTGTGTGTGTGTGTGTGTGTGCGCGCGCACATGTGCATATTATTTGTTACTTTGATGCAAATATGCTTTAATGACTTCTTTTTATCACCTTTGGTAGGAGTTCCCTGTCTAGGCTATTTAGGAAGAGTGCATTTGCAAAAAAAGACAACTTTACTTGTCAAAAATATATATTTTTATATAGTTTTTTTTTTGTTAAACATGCATTTTCCATTTAAATGACATTGCATCAGTTCTCGGTCTGCCTGACTCCAGGTTAAATGATGATGCTGACAGGAAGAAGTTGGACGCAGCCCCTCACAAATGGACGGCTGCCCGGCCTCGCTGTTCGTCATCGCGTTGTTTTTCCAGCGTCCTCCTGCGTCTGCATATATGCGACCGACAGGCTGATTTCATAACGCGGGGAGGAAGAGAGGAATGGGGCTTTGAGGACGGACGAGCACCAGCTCCCGGTCGGCTCCACGCATAAGCAGCAGTAATCTTTAGTGGGCCATGCAGAGGATGCTCTGGGAGGAGATGCGGTGCTGATGCTGATGCTGCTGCTGTTTGCGTCTTGAGCATCAATCGCCCTGACGGCAAAAGAGATAGCGATCGATCTCCGGAGCCACGGACACAGCACCGAGACCCACACAGGATGGAGTTCAAGCATCTGGTGGAGGCAGCGGAGAAGTGGTGCTCCGGGAACCCGTTCGACCTCATATTTGCGGAGGAGAACGACGAGAGGCGGCTGGACTTTTACGCAGAGCCCGGCGTTTCCTTCTACGTCCTGTGTCCTGGTGGTACCGACAGCTTTGTGAGTGGGCTTCATCTGCAGGCCTTTTACTTCAGTGCGTGTGTGCTTGTGTGTGTGCGCGCGCACGCGTATGTGTGTGTTGGTGGTTGGTGTTATTGTAGGTGTGTCGAGGTTGGGATGGAGGTGGAGTTCCGGTTTTATCGGAGATGAATGTAGGATGGGGGTTGGGGGGTGGGGTGGGGGGGGCTATGATGTCATTTCATCTTGGGTTCACACCCACTTTTCTCAATTTAAAGATTATGATGTTTTCTTTCCTCTCTGCAGTGAGGACACCATCAGATATCTGGTTTAAGGTCTCAAACTAACAGAATTCACACAAATGACCACGAAGTCACCAAAACTAGCCTTAAATTAAAGTTACAGCAACAATCAGAGGACTCAATTGATTCTTCGCCCCTCGTGTCACTCCTGTGTTCATAAAATCAAATTCAATCTTATAGTGAAGCTGTTTTCTACACATTAATTCACAAGAATAAAAAAGCATTAAGTGACTGTTTTAGGTGTTTTTTCTATTTACATATAATTTTTTGTTTTTACACAGATCATGGATCATATTGGTCTGCTTTGAGTTTTGGTTGCCACAGCAACACTGATGTATCCTGCCTTGGATCCATTCAAACTATTAACACAACCCCATTTGAACAAGCATATACAGATTTTAACTTGTTTTTGCACATTTAATAATAAGGTTTGTAAATCTTTTTAATAATGTATGATGAGATTTATAAACACATTTGAAAGGATGCACCAACAGCTTTCAAAGAGTCACTTCACCCTGTAGCCATGTGATGCGGCGCTCAAGCCCCAGAGGCCAGACCCACTCTCCTCCCCCCTCCTTGCCCCATCCTAGAGCTCATGGGCCAACGGGGCGGGAGCAGATGGAGATGACCCAGGAGTCTGGGCGGCTGTTCAGTCAATAACATATTATGTCACACAGGCTGAGCCTCCGTTGTGTTTGAAGCCTCGTCTGGCTCCACAGGGCAGCTCTAAAGCATGAGGTTTCCACAGCTGCTCGGAAACAAAAGCTAAATCTGCATGAGTTTAATCATAACAGGGGAAACGTTATTCCTGACATTTGCAGCTGGAAGTCATTCATAACAAAAACTCTGACTGCTGACAGCATTTTTATTTTTAACCTATAACTCTGGTATGAAATGAGTTGATGTGCATTCCTCCGATGGCTGCTGGAATATCAATTATTGCTTCAGTTCTAAGTCTCAGAGCCACTTTTAAGTCTTTTTTAGACGACACATCCAGATATTAAACCCGTGGTTTTGGATTCGACTCAAAAGTTGTCACTGTGGGCAAGCGCTTGCTGTCACATCATACCATTCTGATGTACAGAAGAAAAAAGACATTAATTTACAAAGATGGCTGTTTTTTAAACATATCCTATATGTGGTGTCTAATCCGGATCTTTAGAGGCCTCTATCCTGCATGTTTTAGATGTTTTCCTTCTCCACGCCTAATTCAAATCTGCTATATCAGAGTAAATGAACATCTAAAACATGCAGGATGGGGTCATTAAGGACTGGACAACAATGGAGACCATTAAAAATGCCGACGATTAAAAAGCAACATAGATTGTTTCCACTGAAATTCTTCCAGAATAGACTCTTCCTGAGCCTAATCCTCTTTATTCTTACACCTGAGATAAGGACTTTATCGTTCAACCTGGAAGGCCTATTTAACTAAACGTTTATCTTTCATAAAACACTTTAGACACGTAGAAACCTTCGTCTGTGATCATCAGTACAATTTACAGATTTTGCACAGTGGCTGTTTCAGACTTGACTTTCTACTCTTAGAAACATTTAACTGATAAACTTCATTACAGACTCCAGCTTACATAATAAACAAGATAAAACCAGTAAAAATACAATATTAAAATGAAACAGAAAGATAGAAAATGTCACCATATATACAAAAAAGTTACAATTTTGTTTAAGATTATAAATTTAGTTTTTAAGTGACTACAGAGCTCTTTAGTATTGGAATTTTAGGTAGTTTTAGATAAATAACCCACCAGACGGGCCTTTAGACTTTAACCAGAGCAGTGTAAAGTAAGTGGCATTACTCCAGAAACAATCTCATACAGTTCCTGTAAATGCTTCAGACAAGCACTGGAGGAAGTTGTATTGAATCAGACCATAAATGTTGCTTCTGATTTCCATTTATCCTTCTCCAGAGCTCCTTGTGCTGACAAAGAGCATGAGGAGATTCTGGTCCACCATCCGGCGTCTCAGGAGGGGAAAACAGTGCACTACCAATGCTCTTTATAGGGGGAAGATGTTCTGCTGATCTCGTCTTGGGACGATGTGGATTGGTGGGTGGAGAACTTCAAAGACCTCCTCAATCTTCCAGTGAGGAAGCAGAGTTTGGGTATTTTGGTTTGGGCTCTCTAATCTCTGGTGTGCTGAGGTCACTGAAGTGGTTAGAAAGCTCCTCGGTGGCAGGGCACCACATGTGGATGACATCCGCCCAGAGTTCCTTAAGGCTCTGGATGTTGTGGGGTTGTGTTGGTTGACGTGTCTCTGCAATATTGCATGGACAAAGGGGGCAGTTCCACTGGATTGGATAACTCCAGGAGTATGGGGTACCAGGCCCTTTGTTACGGGCTGTTAGGTCCCTGCTAACGCTAGCCCAGTTACTGCTACCACTAGGCCAAGCTACTGCTAACGCTAGGCCAAGTTACTGCTAACACTAGGCCAAGCTACTGCTAATGCTAGGCCAAGCTACTGCTAATGCTAGGCCAAACTACTGCTAATGCTAGGCCAAGCTGCTAATGCTAGGCTGAATTAGTACTAATGCTAGGCCAAACTACTGCTAATTCTAGGCCAAGCTACTGTTAACGCTAGGCTGAACTAGTGCTAACGCTAGGCCAAGGTAATGCTAACGCTAGGCCAAAATAGTGCTAACACAAGGCCAAGCTACTGCTAATGCTAGGCCGAACTAGTGCTAATGCTAGGCCAAGCTATTGCTAACGCTAGGCCAAACTAGTGCTAACGCTAGGCCAAGCTACTGCTAACGCTAGGCCGAACTAGTGCTAACGCTAGGCCAAACTACTGCTAATGCTAGGCCAAAGTAGTGCTAACGCTAGGATGAACTACTGCTAACAATAGGTCAAGCTACCGCTAATGCAAGCCTGCACTGATTGGCAAGTCGGAAAAAAAGAAAGATAGAAAGTAAATTTTAGATCATGATCTGAGTTTAAATGTTGTGAACTCTCTAAATAGTTATTTCCTGTATGTCTGCAGTCAGTTAAAACATGTAATTAATCTGTGTGTGTGTGTCTGTGTGTGTAGCATGTGTGGAGTGAGAGCGAGGACTGCCTCCCCTTTCTGCAGCTGGCCCAGGACTACATATCCTCCTGTGGGAAGAAGACTCTGCTGGAGGTGCTGGAGAAGGTCTTCACGTCCTTCAGGCCTGTAAGGACACACATGGCTCTGAGAGCGACATGCTGCTTTTATCGCTGCTTCTGAACTTGTTTCTGCCCTAAAACATTCAGGCTGCTCGGTCACAACCAAAACACACCACTAAACATAGGTTTCTGTAGGCTGGCGATCTGTCTGATCTTGAAAGTTTAAGGAATGGTTGTGTGTGTTAACAAGGAGCTGCATTCCATTTAAAATGATTTTTACAAGACAGCCTGTGCAGCTGCTGAAGTGGAATGCAGCCCTTGTTATCTCACCTGTGCCTTCAACACTCAGAGCAAAAATAACGGGCCTTTTGGGAGATTTCTGCATTCTATAAAACTGTTACTGGTCATCTTTTGAATATCAATGGCTTTCCTCGTTATTTTGCAAGCATAACTTATATTTAAATGTTTACATATCTGCAGAAAAAAGGTTCTGATAATTGCAATATATTGCTAGCTCATTAGCTCAGCAGGGCTACAGCCTGTTATGAACAGCTTCATTTGAACTGAAGCTGCATGCTGGCTAACAGTTTATCACCAACATTTAATTAGAGCTTCATGTCTGCAGCTCAGAGTTAACAAAAAAGGGTTTTTAAACTTAAACAATTGCTGAAATATTAACAAAAATTTTGTGTGAAATAGTATCACTATGCTGCAAATATGTCCCACCCTACGACACACACTTTCTCCCTTACGTATGACTTATCTGTTATAAATAAAGCTTAGCAACTATATGTTTTCTGGTAACATTAATACAACTATACAATCTTATGGAATTAATTAAGTAATTAGAAATGCATCATTGTTTATGAGCTTACAAACAATTCCTCTCTACAGGTCACATTTATTAGCCCGGCCTGCCAGACTCGTCCTCTGTGTAATTCTGCACAGAGAAAGAGTCTGGTAACCCACAGGCAGAGAGGCACATGAGGGGCGGGACTAGCCAACTCAAAAATAACCAATCAGAAAAAAGACGGAAATGCCGACTGTACCGCGCAACGCTGTAGTTTTTTTAGCTGTAGTCAAAAATGGTGTCTAGCGACAGCGCAAGCATCTTTCTTTAGAAGAAAGGCTTTTAGCATTTCTACTTGTGGTTTCAAAGACGCGTCCAAGTCATTTAGAACAGAGGAAAGAGCCTCAGCGAACTCCGCTTCAGCCGCCATGTTTATGACAAACTCAGTGTTGTGGTGTATGACGTACGCTACTCAGCACTGATTGGCTCTGTTAGAATTCTCAGGGGGTGGGGTTATTTGAATAGGAGAGTTCCCAGACCCTTTCTCTGTTCAGAATTAAACAGAGGAGGAGACTGGCAGGTCAGGCTACATGTTTATGGAGCTAAAACAGAGCCACAACGTTTAATTTTAAAAGAAAAAAAAAGAAACCAAAGCAATACTAGTTGAAATTTTAAGTACATTTTTGATCTTCAAATTCGAAAAGACAATTTTTTTTTCACAAAAACAAATTAAGCTAATGTTTTTTTTTTTTTTTGTCGGTAGATTTGATTCCCTTTTTACATCTTTGTCTTCTTTGTCACATTCCACTTTGCATGTGTGCTCTTATTTTGGTAATCCTTTTAAAACTTCTAGCACAGGGATTCCCTAAGTGTGGTGCGCGCACCCCTGGGGGTGCGAGAGCTGCCGCTAGGGGGTGCGCGAGGTGAAAAGTGTAATGGCTGCGGAGCTCAGAGAAGTCTGTCATATGTCACCATTAATGTAGCCAGAAACTCATTTGTGGGTGGGCCTAAGAAAAAGTAAGTGGGCCCAATAAATGTAATTGAAAACAAGTATATTTTGCTTGTGTGTGTGTGTGTGTGTCCTCTGCATGTGCCCTAGCTTCATAATAATAATGCGCTCCGAGCTTCAGCGCTCTGACCTGCACACGCTGCCAACAGCAAGATATGTTTAGTATTTGATCATTTTTAACATGTTGGAGGAATCTGAAGGTGGTGAGTGATTCTGGCAGATTCTAATTAACACCCTGTCTCATGCAAGTGTTCTGACATTGTAAACCTCACACACAGAACATTGTGGATGTAACAAAATAAATCAAGAAATGATTCCCATCTGAGCATTTTAGCATTATTATATTATTATAGTAGCTCACTGACTGTGGGACAGCATTCTAAACGTGTCAGGCTATTAACAGCACGCTGAAGATCTGAAGGTCAGAGTGCGTCTGTCAGAGGTCACACGCGTTCCAGCGGAACCACGGCTCACAGGTGCACATGTGAGCACATCTTGGCTGGGCAGAAGAAATTTTACAACATTGGTTTAAATAGCGCCAATAACGAGACGCGGTGACTGGAGCGGCTCATGGAGCTGTGCCGCGCGCACACACACACACACACACACACACACACACACACACACACACACACACACACACACACACACACACATACTGATTCAACAAACGCACGCTGCGCAAACTCCGGCATTGCGCTGTGCCGTCAGACTGAAGGCAGAAATGAGCGCTGCCTCCTCTGTGATAAAAACTTTTAAGAGGTTTTATAACAACATTTTTCATTCAGGATCAAATTAAGATATTAGCTTCTTTTTTGGGATGACGTATTAAAGTCGGGTCCGCTGCAGCCAGTGACTCCTCATGAACCTGACTACAAATCATGTTACAGCAGCATTTGTTATTCCAGTATGGCAGCAGATCGCAGATTCAGCCACACCATAAAACAGCAATAAGTCGGTCTGAGGCAAAAGTGAACCTCATGGCTATAGATTTTCCATATTTTCCCCTATAGACATTTGATTACGCACAAGTAGGTGACCAGTTCAGGTTTACGCAGAGCAGAAGGAAGGAGAGAGCTCTGGCCACAGGTTAAACGTTCCTGCTTTAAGAAACCCGTTAAATTGCATTGTTTATGTGCTACCTGGGTTTCTCCAAAGGACTGTGCATCTACACCCTGAAGCATAGACAATAAGCATATTGATATCAGCGCCAGCAGGGACTCCATGTCCCATGATCCTCTGCAGCCGGCAGCAGCTTGATGATGTCATCACGAGATGCCAGGTCTGACTGGCCAGTGGATACCGGCCGCTACGGGGACCGCCCACTGGACCAGTCTATAAAGCCGAGGCGCAAAGCGGAACTCGCCCTCTTCCCGTCCAGTTCATCTGGTGTAAGGAGAACCCCCGCCTCTGCTCCTACCGCTCCGGACAGCGCGTGCATGAGGCCTAGCTGCTGAGATCAACGGAACAACGCCATCTGATCGGCTCAGCCCCGGACACAGAGGGACGCCTTGTGTTTGTTCATTCAAGATTTTTTTTCTCTCTCTCTCTCTCTCTCTCTCTCTCTCTCTCTCTCTCTCTCTCTCTCTCTCTCTCTCTCTCTCTCTCTCCCGCTTCTCTAATAGTCCGAAACAAGCGGTCGACCATGTGACTGCTTTAAATTAACAGACGGTCTCTCTCTTCCGTACCAAAAGCGCCGACGGACATCTCGAAGTAAGCTCCGTTTCTTTTATGGTTTAATATCTAAGTTTGTTTATGCTGTGGCCAGGCTGACAGACTGTTTAGACATGTGATTTGCCTTTTTGACTGATCTGTTGTTTTTTTTCTTGATCTTTGTGAAGCGATTTGAAGTGTTTTGATTAAGTTTACTGTGAACGTTTGCTCACACCGCCACTGATTGTGCGTGTTTGGGAAGACAAGCTAAATTCCACACACACACACACACAGTTAGTGTCACGATCTGCCCCTGCCTTCCTGACTGTGTCTCTCTCCTGCCCTGATTGATCCATATTGTTCTCACCTGTCCCTCGTTGACCTGCCCATGTGTTCCTGATTTCCCTGTGTATTTATACCTCCCTCCTTGTGCCAGTCTTTGTCAGATCATTGTTGTTTGCCGTGTTGTTCTCGTTCCTGCCGTATCCTGTCATTAAACCCATTTTTACTTTATCCGTGCCTGCATTCCTGCCTCCTGGAACTCTCCACCACACATAGTCCATCATCTCCACACCCTCGCAACGTGACAGAATGATCTGACCAAACCTGGACCTGTGGTGAGCTAACACCTGTTTTTTGGAGGATTCTTTTTTCTTTTTTTCCCCTTTTCAGCGGAGGGAGATTCCGGCCCGGAGTTGTGTTTCTCGGCGCATCCTACCTGTTCTCGGGGTGGTCGAGCCCTCTGGGTGATCCTGGCGCATCCTATCAGTTTCCGGTGTGGTCAAGGTCTTTTCTCCTCTCCTGCTGTTCTGCCCCATCCTGTTTTTTACAGAAGCTGCCGTTTCCTGGAGTTTTGATGGAGGTAAAACCCTCTACGCACGCTATCATTCTCCGGGGTGGTAGGGCTGGTCTTCCTGCTCCGTGGTCTGCTTCCCTTCACCCGAGCCTGCCTGTGGATCCTGTTGAGTTACGGTGTGCACCTGCTCAGAACTGTGGTCGAGTACCTGCTACCGCTCCTGGTTCCCTCGCGTCACTCCTGCTGTCTCGTCCCACTTCCTGGTCCACGCCTGCAGGGTCTATGCCTGCAGGCCCTTCACGCTGCAGTTCCTGCTGGGTCCCACGCCTGCTGCTGCAGTTTGTTTACGCCAAGTCAAGTGTATCCAGTCAAGTCTTCGAGTCCTGTCCCCGCCAAGTCAAGTGTTTCCAGTCAAGTCGAGTCTTCGAGTCCTGTCCCCGCCAAGTCAAGTGTTCCCGTCCCGAGTCAAGTGTTCCCAGTCTCCTATGTTGTGTGGCCTTGTGGGTGTCTGGTATCCGCCCCTTAAGGGGAGGGTACTGTCACGATCTGCCCCTGCCTTTCTGACTGTGTCTCTCTCCTGCCCTGATTGATCCATATTGTTCTCACCTGTCCCTCGTTAACCTGCCCATGTGTTCCTGATTTCCCTGTGTATTTATACCTCCCTCCTTGTTCCAGTCTTTGTCAGATCATTGTTGTTTGTCGTGTTGTTCTCGTTCCTGCCGTATCCTGTCATTAAACCCATTTTTACTTTATCCGTGCCTGCATTCCTGCCTCCTGGAACTCTCCACCACACATGGTCCATCATCTCCACACCCTCGC